TGATCGCTACTTAAATGAATTCATATTCATGAGTGATGGAAATATATGTGATTATTGAACAATTCGTATTTCGAACTCATATTAATGTCGGACTGATGAATCGTGTCTATTTCATAATATCACTTTCAATATTTACATAGATTTCTAATTTAGCATTAATTACATTTACATTAACAACTGAATTGTATTACAAAATTATATTTGTGAATTACGTTTCCAGGCAATTTATGACTTTGCGTTATCTTTTATTCATTAAAATTAATTAGCATAAAGAATCCATATAGATTTAATTGTAAGTTTAGACTGGGATATGTTTATATGTAATTTCAAAATGAAGCGCCATGAATTAGTTCGTAGAACGTAAGTGGATCGGCGTAGCAGTCGCGCTTCTTTACAAACAGTTTTTCGTTTCTCGGTTTTCTTACTTCCGAACTGTAGAAACTTCCTATGGGAAAGAGCTTTGACAACAAACTTGTTTTTCTACTTGTAATTAGAAATAATCATCCAAGATGAGAATTGTTTGCGCTGCGTTAAATTGCAAATATTCCTCAGAAAACAAGGATTCTTCGAGTGTCACTTTTATCAATTTTCCCAACAATGACACGTAAGTATAATACTTTTTTTTCCGATGAATTATTTTTGATGCTTAGATAATTATTAAATTCATTATGCTTATTTTATCATTGCTCGAAAACTACGATTATTATACTCATTGTTTTATAATTTGAATCTTGACAATAATTTTTATAGAGCCAAAGTATGGGCAGAATGTTGTGGCAGATCGGATTTAGCTACAAAATCGAATGCAGAATTGCATTTGAATTATTACATTTGTTCTCGTCACATTGAAGATCGCTGTTATATAAGCAAAACTATTCCCATTGTTGTAGAAGAAGGGACCATTCCCACTTTATTTGAGACTGACTTGACTACTGACGATGAAGACTCAATGAATATGTTTCATAAGGCACAGCATCTCCAAGAAATAGGTGACAATGTGCCTTTAACATATTGCGATATGAATGTTGAAATAGACGAATATCATAATATCTCTGTCAAATTTGCCAATTTATGTCGAATCTGTGGAATATCCGCTTTGGATGGAATAGATATCTTTGCAACCAAGGGTATAGAACTTAAATTAAAAGAAAGAATAAATTTACATATGCCTATCTCGATTGACATAAATGATTCATTACCACGGAAAGTATGTACCGATTGCTGTAATAAATTGGAAGTTGCACATTCACTAGTTGTCTCATGTCTTAAAACTGACATGCGCTTAAAACAATTTCTAAATATTGACAGAGAGGTAAGAACTAGTATAACATTATGCGATTGTAATTATAAATATTTTTGTAAGTTACATTTATTTATCAAAAATGTTTTTAAAATATATTTATTATATTGATAAATATTTTGTTTTATAGCCAGAATATGAAAATAAGTACAATTCATTGATTGACGAATGTTCCTTAGAGATAGTCCAAGAAATGTGTATCCAAGAAATGGACGATAATTTGCATCCTAATTCATTTACTATAAATAAAATGATAAACTCTGATTCAGAAAGTTTAAGAGAATTAGAAAATGGAGAATGTACTGAAATACAGAATAATGATTTTCAAAGCATTTCAAAAAATGTGCCGTTAGAACTAAATACTCTAATCCAAACTTGTAGAGAAGTTAACAGTAAAAGTAATGCAAGTGAGACTATCAGAGAAGAGATATTAAATTTGCAACAAGATAAGACCAAAAATGGAAGTCTTAATGTTATATGTCTACAGTGCCAAACTTTCTGTGAAACACAGGAAATATTTGAAAATCATAAAATAGTTTGTAATAAGACACAAGATATCTCTGAACATGTAGATATGTGTAAAACTCCAGAAAACGGAAATCAGCAACTTAATCATGAAATAAAAAATTTCCAGGCACGCAAAAAAACATTTGATGATAAGCAAGTTACTGATAAAAACTGCGAATCAGTGTATTGTACTGTTTGCAACCAAGCGTTTAAATATCAGCAGGATTATGATAATCATAAACATCTTCATGTAAATCTTACTGAAATGAATAAAAGATGTGGTCATTGTGAAAAAGTATATCATAACAAAAAAAATTTGTTAATACATATTGTGGAATCGCACGAGGGACGATTATTATTGAAGTGCTCTACATGCGATAAAACATATGAGAAGTGGTCTAGTTTAGATATTCACGAAGCTACTCACAGAATAGATAAACCCTATCTTTGCGATCTGTGTGGAAAAAGTTTTAAGCATTCCAATAATTTAAGGGGTCATAAAAGAATTCATTTGGACGAAGCTATAAAGAAAAGACATGTGTGTGAGACCTGTGGCAATATGTTTAGATCACGGTAATTGAAGAAATTTATAGAGAAATTTATATCAAAATTATTCCAACTAAATTCAGAAAAACAGAGAGCATTACATTTTATGCAACTTGTTTCTTGTGTTTACAGATTTCATTTGCAAGAACATATGAATCAGCACGATGATAACAGACCCTATTGTTGTGAACAATGCGGCAAAGCTTTTTACAAAAGAATTCAGTTGCGACAGCACCAATTATCGCATGGCTCTAATAGGCATACATGTTTGATTTGCGGTGCAATGTTTAATCGTAGAGGGAACATGATCGCACACACGAAACGGCATAATAACGATAATGGAGGATATAGATGTAGTGTAAGTATTTTATAAAAATTATGAATTATTACATATTGTTTGTCTTTATACATTGATATCAGTTATAAATATTCTGATCGAAAATTAATAATTGGAAACAATAGGAAAAATTGTACATTTTATTATAGGTTTGTGCCTACAAATCTAAATCTATGAGCGAATTAAAGATACACAGGAAAGACCATACCGAGGAGGAAATAGTGGACAGCATTAAGAAGAGATGTACCGATAAGGACATATGGCGTTGTAACATTTGTAATAAAATATTCTCAAAGCGCGCCATCTTGTTAAATCACGAGCGCATACATGGAGACGATAAGTTTTACGAATGTGATGAATGCGGCAAGAAATTAGCAAGTAAAAGCTCGTTAATATATCATAAGAAGTCGAAACATTTGAGAGAGAGGCCGCATATGTGTCATTATTGCGGAAATTCGTTCGTTTCGAGAGAGGCACGGCTGATTCATGAAAGGATACATACCGGTGAACGCCCTTACATTTGCAAGGTGTGCAATACGCAGTACAGATCTTCCAGTAATCTTAGCCAGCACATGAAGATCCACACGGGTCTGAAGCCGCATAAGTGCCATTTTTGCGACAAAGGTTTTACGCGTAAAGCCGCGCTAACCGTACACGAGAGAATCCACACGGGTGTTAAGCCTTATTCTTGCGAGACCTGTGGTAAAAGCTTCTCACAGAAGAATGACATGTTAAAGCATATGAAACGCACAACTGCAGATGGATGCAGCGCGGTTATTGTAACTAAATCATTAAACGAAAATAAAAATATGTTAAAGCACACTGTGATGCACGAGCAAGACTCCTTAGTAATTTCGAATATCAATGCATGATACATTCTTCAAGTTTATGTTAATAATGTCTCTTCGGAAATTAAATAATTTTAGTAATAATGACGATAATTGTATATATAATATAATATGATGAAAACATGAAAACATCAAAACGTATAAAGAGAGCAAATTAAAACTTCATCTCTGACAAGTTATTATCAAAAAAGGTATAAAAAAATTGAAGACGCTAGTACTTTCCTATATATTCTTCTATATACTATATTTGATAAATTATTTTTCTCATTTTAATTTTTTATCTCATGTGTGTTACAGTCTCCTGATTAGTACAAGAATATAAGAAATCATCGAATTTTGACTGAATATTTAATGGAAGCTTTAAGTTACTAGTGAAGGAACGATATAGAGACATTCTAAGAATATAGATACAAATCAGATAAGATTATTTTATACTGATAAAACAATATTTCTGTCTGGTTATACTACTCTTATTGGAGATATGCATTGTTGAAAGACTGATGCGCTTACTATCTAGAAGCAAAGAAATTTTATGTGATTGCAAGTGACAGAAATTGAATATGTCAATATTTTCTCGATATGTAAGTATAATAAAGAAATCATTGCCTTTCTTTTAATTTCTAGACAGTTCTTATCTAAAAGGTCAACATCTAAAATCGCATTTATATTTAAATTCAAATGTATCTATTTTATCCTCTATGATGAAATTAAAATAAATATTTGTTATACTCAATATGAAATCTCTAAATTGTCCAGGTGTTCGAAAAGCTGCACATCAGGCTTCGTAAAGATCATATTTGATTTATGATGATTTGATGGATGCTCTGATGCTGGTATTTCCATAAAAAATATTGTAGAAAAAAATGAAGAGCGCTTTACAAGTCATAACTTAAACTTTATAAACAATACTCAAACTGGCTTGGCAAGCAATCATCTGAAAGCGTTCATTTATATCTTGATAGCCTACCCGCATTGCTGAAAGATGAGGTGCAATAAAAGTCGTTGTTATATATAGAATAATACTCTTTATTGTTTTTGATAGTTGTTGTTTTTCATATCGTGCGCTGCAGTTTCTTTTTACTCAACTTTTGTCATTCAATATCCAGTTAAACGACTCCCCGTTTTACTGTCAGTTCTGCTGCTAATATATTTTGGTAGAACAGTACGTGATACAACTCCACGATTTTAGAACAAAGAGAAACGAAAGGAAATGGCGACACGCCCGATCACTCGCGAACACACGTGTGCCGTATTATTCGTCGACCGCATATAGGACTAGAGTAATTGCGATTTTTCTCCCGTGTAACACTTGTTCGCCGATTATATATCTTTTTCTTCTCAATTCCTAAATGATCGAGGAGCACACGTGCTTTTTTTTGTGCGCAAGTAAAAACGTGGGCCCGATCGAGTCGCGTGCGATTTCGTCTTGCTCGCTCGAACGGCGACGACCGATGACCGATGGTCTTTTCTTTTTTTTTAAAATTCGTCATATTCGTTATACAATAATTTTATATTTTTTCCCCCTTTATAGTTTTCTTTATAGACGCAACGGCCTCGCAATATGCCACGCTCTTCCTACGTTATGATCGAGTGATCGGTGCGTGGTCGTCGACGATACAATTACGCATTTCTCAGAGTATAATATCTCCGGCTCTGTTAAAACGCGCGTACCCGGCACGCGCGTTGCGAGCGCACGGCGTCAGGGTCGAATCAAGGCGGACGACTCGAAAAAGAGTTCGTTCGAGAGCACGGAATAATTTTCAGCGATGTTGCCGTTCGATCGCTCGGTTAGTCGCGGGCTCGTATTCGTTCGCGAACGGAAGCGAAACGGCACCGAAGGTGCTGGGACAGCGGGAGAGAACGCTTCCGGGCTCTCGCTATCCCGTCGCGACGACGGGCGCTAACGCACTTCCGGAAAGCGCTTGTAATCCGGATGATCCGAGAGTGCCGCTGTGCCGTGCGTTTGCTCGACGCGGCCGACGACACCGCCTCGACTCGCAACCGCTCCCTTTTTTCTTTCTTTTTTTTTTTTTACCCCATATTACTCTCTCATCTTCTTTAAATTAATTATTTCTGTCTCTCTTTCTCTGTAACCATCGTTCTTTGCGCTACTATTTACAATGTACAATCGTGCATCCTTCCTGCCCTAATTTCTTACGACAGCGTCGAGTCGCGCGCGCCTGATCGCTTTCCAATCGACGGCTTTCTCGTCGTCCCTTTTTCGCTTGGAACTTTTGCTTTTCGTTTACAACCTTCCGAAGGGACGAAGAAACAGTCGAGGGTGGTAAATCAGTTCGCATTTGACTCAAATTTTATATAGTACGCAAAGTAAATGATTCTCGATCAGATATCATTGACATAATTATAATTTAAGCTCAAATGAGACAAATTACAAATTAATATGTGAATTATTTTCATTAATTCTAAGAGAAATATGTTCTAGGTATGATACTACCGTCAAACTTTATTTTAAAATAATCTTTGTTCGTAAAGTCGGTTCGAAAAAATTAGCAAGATATGAAAAAAAGAAAATTTTTTGACGAGTATTATTGAATTGCCACGAGTCGTCGTAAGCGCGAATGAAAATAAATTTCGTCCGAATATCACCGCAACGAGGAAGAATCGATCGCCGCGCGAGCTCGTCGCCGCCTCATATTATTTATCAAGATAAATATATACATATATATGCATACAATAATAATAATAATCTTATACACATACACGCACACGTACACGTATACGCATACATATATATATATATATATATATATATATACACACTTTTTTTTTAATATATAATATATATCTTATTTATATATATATATTTTCTCAATATTAAACTTATTATATCCTCTTTTTCATTTCGCTTAAACGTACCTTCGCGCACGTGCTATTTATACTATTTACAAACGCCTCCATCCGGCATCCCGTTAAAAAAAAAAAAGAGGAAAAAAAAGGAAAAAGGTGAAAGGGAAGAACGGGAAGAAACGCGATAACCGCCAGAGTATCGTGTCGCACACACCGCTGTCACTTGTATGCACGTCGGCGTGCCGAGGACTCCGCGCCGCGGCCTTGCCGTCGCGCTTAACAGCCGTAACTTTCTCCCTTCGGCGGTTTTTAGGCACTTCACGAGATACGCGTGTCCGATCGCGAGCTACGCGTCAGCGTGTAATCGCGAAAAGAAAAACAAGCGAAGCTCCACGTACCGATGCCGGCAGCGCTCGCACATTCTCGCGCTTAATGCTGGACCACCTCGCGAGGATGTTGTTCATCAGCGTCCGTTTTAAAGGTCTCGAAGATTTGCGTCTCTTGGACATTTGAGACGTCTGAAAATGTCCCACAATCAGACTTTTTTTTTATTATTTACGAGGGGAGGTAAAAATGGATTTCCATATTTTCTTCAAAGCTTATTCCACAATTGCGTAAGCACAGTTGTAAGTGTCGTAATTGTAAGAATTGATTAATTACAGTCGAATACTTTCTTCATATTCGGCTGCATGAATTCTTACAACTACGACCACATATAATTATACTCACAAATTAATTAATAGTAATTATAGAATAGGCTTAAGACGTGATGCTTGATTGGAGATAATTTTTGTAGACTCAGAAATTGCGTGATAGAATTGCTGAATCTTTTTATCAATTGTTATCCAACTACGTGCGATCGCGAGACGCTGTTGACGCGGAAGGTTATCCAACATTAAGCTTATTCTACAATTGCGTAAGCGTAATTGCAAATGGTTGCAGTTGTAAAAATTGATGAATCATAGTCGCGTATTCTCAAATTCGACTGTGATTGGTCAATTCTTACTATTACGCTTACGTAATTGTATGGGCTTTACTTTTTTAGAAATATGCTTTACGAACTTTTACGCCTCCGGACAAACGGAAGATACGTAAGTACCTCTTCGATCGAGATATATTGAACAACTTATATTTGCTCGATATTGATTTGTGATTTAATATCCTGGTAGAAAAATTCCACTAAAATTATTTCACATTTTGGAACACTTTTCGGCGAAGTTTCAGCATTTTAGAAAAATTTCAATTTAATTTTAGCAATTTTTAGTTGAAAAATTTATTTTTAACAAAATTTTAACAAAATCTCAGAAAAATCTCAGCAGAAATTTCACAGAAATTTTAGTGCAGTTCCAGCGAATCAACATTATTGTAGCGAGTTAACAACAGATTTTTCAATATGTTAACTGAAAAATTCATTTTCAGTGAATTTTCAGCAAATTTTCAGCAATTTTGTTGAACCGTTCCAAAACATAGAACCATTTCAGCAAAATTGTTTCACCAGGGTAATAAATGGTTATTAATATTGAATTACTTTACCCGATCTCTCTCGAAGAAGAGAAGGAAGGATTTGATTAACGGAAACGTATGCGATTTAAGACACGCGCGTACGATTCTCCGCTTCCAGTAATTAACAATATCGTGGAAGAACAACGTAGCTGCTCCGCCGAAAAACAGTGAGTGAAATGTTGATGAAGTTAAATTATTGTTCACCGTTTTACAAAAAATCGGCGATTTACAATAACTTATGGCGACAGCATACTAATCGTATTTAAAATCACAATCATAATTGCAATTTTAATGGCATGTGAGAAAAACGAATTTCTAGAAAAGAATATTGCTGCATCATCTTGTTTTCCCGTGGAGCAGTCAAACGCATACCGAATCCTTCCTTCAGCGTACAATAACTGGATGGCGAATTAGAAACTAAAAAAAAAAAACTCTCCTGTCAATTCGTCTTCCGTTCGTCTCGATTCAGTCAGCGGGATGTCCCGGAGTTACGAACGTTCGAAAATTGAGTATTTTCCTAATTTCGGGCTAGACATTAAAGATTTAGATTTCCGTTTTATCAATTTCAATCACAATTCGACGGATACAAGTTTCGTGAAACGCTAACGGCGAAAGATAGCCGGATGATCACCAATGACAGCTTAGGATACTTAAGATCTAAGACGAACTCTTTCTCTCTTTCTCTCTCTCTCTCTCTCTCTCTCTCTCTCTCTCTCTCTCTCTCTCTGAAAGGAGCTACTCTCCTGTCTAATCACACTGCTCTTTCCCTGAGAGGTGCGAGCCCTTGCATTTGCACGGCTTGCGATTCCGCTCACCCGCCGTTACTTTGTAACGTTCGACGCCCAACGCGCATACAACGCATACGCAAAGGACCCGTGTGTGACACAATCACGCGCGGTTAGACGCATGGGTTTGTACGTACGTTCTTTCCCTAAATTCCCCGCAGCTTGTTAAAAGTAATATTGCTCGTCGTTTCCCGCGGAGAAATCGCGCGAAGAAAGGGATGGGGGGAAACATTATCGTCGGACAAGGACGGTTCGGTGGAAAGGGGGTGCTAAGAGGGGGGAGGGAAGGGGAGGGGGGGGGTTTTGCGGAAAAGGGAAGATGCGCGTTTGACAGAAGGTGTGCCAATCGTACGTGGTGCTATAGTACAAAGTAGAAAATGGAACTCGAGGAAGGATCTTCGAAGGATAGTCGACACGCAGGGTGGGACGAAAGGTATGAAGGGTCTCTTCTTTCTCGACGATTCGCGTTTATGCTTAAGAGCTTAGACTTAGTATAAGTAACGCATACTTATATGTATATATATATATATCTATATATATATATATATATGTACAAGTACCTAGCATATCTCGCGTATATCTTCGTGTACGTATAGATGTGCTGTGTGTGTGTGTGTGTGTGTTTTGTGTTTGTGTCGCGTGTCATATAAGAGAGAACATTATAATATATAATTACAATTTAAATCAACTCTATATCGCGATAATCACACATCACCCCTTTTTACATACATACGCACGCTCCTTGCTCTCCCTTTTCTCTCGCACTCCCGCTTACTCACATTCACCCTCGCGTTTAAGTAATCAGTCGAGTCGATAAGTTACTATTATTACTCTCTTTCGTAACGTTAGACTTTCTTAAATCGTTTAGCTTTTAAGTATAGCTGCTCTTCAATGGATTCGTGGACGTTGAGGGCGAGATCGCGCACGGATTTACGCGAGAAGATGCGTTCGGGGTCGAGCGGGCTTTTAAATCGCGACCTTAACTCCGAGCGTTTCGCCTTCTTCACGCGCGCGCACGCCGGCCACTCTCTAATTTATTTTATATATTTATATATATGTATGTGTGTACATATGATACATTTATGGGAGATCAGTGGCGCGCAGTGGCCACCGTGCGACGATCCGAAGGGGAGAACGTTATCCCGATCTCTAAAATGCAGGTACATTTGTCGACGTCGTATGTCGAGACACAAGATATCCACACGAAGGCGTCGGCGTCTCGCGTTAATCTCCTTGGGACGCGTCTCTTATCTTTTACACACATATACACACGTGGGATACACATACATACGAACAAACGTACGCTCGACGTGGCCTGTTGCAACCCCATTCGCAATTACCTCCCTTTAATGATTTTTCAATAATTCTCTCTTTCCGATATTACACGGATATGTGTGAAGGGAGATTTCTGACGTCTTTAAAAGAATGTAATTTTTTTAATCTCGTTATAATTAACTACAGTAAATTTCATTAGACTTAAAAAATTTCATTTTTTATTTTCAGTATACTCATTTTATACCCCGTTTCTCTCTTCTACTTATACGACAATTTTTTAGCGTATATAATAAGTTCTCATATTCTCTCCTTCTTTCCTTTTTTTGTAAGACATTTTTAATTTTTTAATATTTTTGTATTTATTTATTCATGGCAAGTTTCATGGTCATTCTAATAAAATAATTAATGCGGAGTTCGCGCGCATTTAAAATCGAGTTATACTGGCCCACGTCATGCATTTTAGGGTTAATCCGTTGCGTTGAAGCTTAATGGACTTTGAAAACCTAATGGACTACTTTGCATGCTTAATTTTCACATTTCAACTTGCGATTAGACTTTGTGATTGAGACAATCACGGCATATATTTCCCCGCTGAGTCGCGATGAAAAAAATTCTGAAAGAATTCTAAATAAATATTACTATTCGTTGAAAAAATAATCAGTGCGCAGATTGCCATTATTAATCAGTGAGCGTTCACGTTAAAAAACACGTGTCGCTTTAAAATAAAAATAACAAATATATATCTTCATCCACACTTTACACACGCACGCGCGCGCGCGTTTATATCCTATAGAGATATAATGTAAAAACCAAGGTAGACAAAGATTATTTGTGAGATCTCGTAAAATCGCTATATGAAAATAACTTTTGTTCTGCTCGTAATGTTCTTAAATGGATACGCTCACTGATTAAACCGCATATTTTAAGCTCAAACACATCCCGCAGTTTCAACGCAAATGTTTCAAACCCTCTCTCACTCATTGTTCTTTTACTTCCTCGCAACATGTAAACAATTAATCGAGACCCAATTGCACCAGCCCGATTCAACCTGTTCAATAATTTGCTGCGCGTTCATAAATTACGATTTTATTTTTAATGCGATGAACGTTTCAGCTTATGTTAAGTCCCGTAATAGCGTATGTCAATGTATATCAGACAAAAATGATTGCCAGGTATTTCCATTTTAAGAGCATTATGTAGGATCCGATTAATTTTTTAATAGCTAGATTCAGGCCTTTTTTAATTAATAATCTACCGACACACGAGATGTGACACTCGAACAAGCAGAATCTACGCTGGATCGGTGGTGCCGAAAGTGTCTCAACTTCGAGACGCCGACATCTCCGACTTACATCGTATCACGCTTACGACGGCAGGACACCGCGTCACGACGACCCCGAGAGACGGACGCTACGAGCGATCCGTGTGAATTCGGTACGTCTTCGGCTTAATGTATGCCCGTGTCTATGTATCTCTGTATATATGTATGTGTGTGTATGTGTGCGTGCGTGTCGTGTGTCCAGAGGATAGAAGCACCAGGATGCAGCCGCCCTGTAGCACCGTACGACTAGGCCACGGCAGTCGTATGTATACTGTCTGTTTGTCTGTATGTGCGTCTGTATGGTTGTGTATATATTGTTGAATGCATGTGGTGCGTGTCCGTGTATATATGTATATATATATATATATATGCGCGAGTAGCGTATCGTCGGTGATTATCATCGATTGTTCCTCCCAGAGACGCGGACCTCGACATCGCGCGCCATTCCACGAAGAAAATCCCTCGGACGATCTGAGGCTGCGAACGAGGACGGCGAGGGAGCAGAAGGCTGCCCAGGCCGGAAGACTTCGATCGCAACGTTTTCGTTGGTTTTCCCAGTCTCGAGGTAGTCAATATCATATTTTCTCTCGGTAGTCAATATCATATTTTCTCTCTCTCTCTCTCTCTCTCACACATCTCTCCTGTCCGTTCTCTCGAATCTCTCTGTACATCTTCTTGTACCTCTTAATCACCTTTCGAGGAGGATTCGCACGTGGATTCTCGAGCTTGCAAATGCAAGCGCAGAAACATTGTCTCAATCTTCCTAGGATCACATTTATCGAATCATTACTACACATTGTGTGAAGAGTTGATCATTATCGGCAGTTTCCTCTCAAATCTTGAGATACATTATCTCGAGGCGTGTGTAAATTACGCTTGCACCTGGTCTCGAAATTCCACGGCGGAGACGATACACGCGGGTCTCATGTACGCGATAGCTTAATAAACGAAAGTTATCGTCCGAATATTTGTCAGGACACCAGATCATCGCGAATAGCAGCACCTGTCGACACGCGGACAGTAAAGGCTTTCTTTCCCTTATCCACCCTTCTCTCTCCCCGTTCTTAACTCGTTCGTTAAGCCCTCAGAGCGCTCTATTTTGTCTGCACCTGCGGATGCCGCGTGTCATGACGCGTCCGTCCCTCGGGGAGCAGAACGTTGGGAGACACGTTGATTAGCGATAGTAATAATAGTAATAGTAGTAATAGTATTAGAGTAAGAGTAGTAATATAATATTACTAACAATAGTAGCGATAGTAATAGAAGTAACAATAACGATAGTGGGGGAGGGGGGAGGGGCAGGAGAGAGGAGGTAAATAGTTTCGGGAGGGATGGTAATAGAGAAGTAATGGTAACGGTACGGTCGGTAAATGGTAGCCGATAGTGATGGAGTAGGAGCGGTGGTAGAAAAAAGAGCGGAGGAAGAACAAAAGTGTCACAGAAGGTTTTTTTGTATCGGTATCGGTGTACGTGTCCATTTGCATGTATTAGTGTGTACACGTGTAATTGACGCGATAATAAATTAACGCGAAACAGAAAGTGAAGGCGGCTCCTCGAGAGTCGCCGGCCGGACGTCGAGCGCTCCAGAGGGTGGGCGAGAGATCCCATATTCCACCACTGCCTCTCGCCCGCGCGCCTTTTCAAAATCCACAAACTGCGGATCGCGAGCTGCGTTAGTTATTTGCGCGGACTTATTTGCCCTGCGGCGTTAGCGGATAGAAATCGATGAGATGACTCAACGACGTCAAAGTCGAGGGCTATGATCCTACACACATCAACGACTCGTGCGTACTACTGCTGCTACCAACGTTGCTGACGCCGGCGCTTCCAATGACATTGCTATTACCGCAGCTGCTGCCGCAACTGCTCCCCGACGACATCAGGTGTTGCTGTTGCTGCTGTTGCTGTTGCTGCTGTTGCTGTTGGTGATGATGATGTTGATGGTGATGATGATGATGGTGGTGGTGATGGTGATGATGCTGTTCCTGGGTCGTCGTTGTACTTCTCAGAATGTCGTCCGCTGAAAGAGGCGTCAGCTTCCATCCGGGCATAAAATCCAGGTCGAGATCGGGCCCAATGTCCACATCCAGTAATTCGTTGTTGTTGAGCGGGTCGAGCGGCGACTGACTCGATAAAGATAGCACACTACCCCAATTGATCGATCGGCTGTCGTCGCTGTCACCGATGCCAGAATCGACGTCGGTCTCGCCCGACGACGTTGGGGGCACAGGGAAAGGTGTTAACCTACCCTGTTCGGGCGGTTGCAGTTGAGCGATTGGCGCCGGCACGACCGGCTCCATAGGTGGTGGACTCCTGTCCCTTTCCATCTCGCGTTCCAAGTGTCTCAAAGTATTGCAGATCAGTACCGATCGGTGGAGGCTCGGATCCGGGAATTGGCGGTACCTGGCGAGTTTGCACATTGAAATGTTAAGCACGGCGAGCCGCCGCTGCCTGTAACAGGCCCGGCCGCGCCGACACCAGCTGGACTTGGAACCTTCGCAACACCGCTCGTTCGCCCGGTAACTCGAACCGAGCTCCAGATAGCTCTTGCCGTTTTCCTCTCGACGTATCGTCGGTGGCTCGTAATGATGAAGAGCGCCCCATTGCGGTTGAGATCTCGATAGCTGGCTGTAACCGTTGCTGCCGATAGGACTAACGGTGGCGCGTTGATGATGATAATAATGTTGCGTGTGATGATGCAACTGTGTCACTGTGGACGAGGCCGATGTCGAGGATGACGCCGGCGATTGTTGTTGTTGCTGCTGCTGTTGCTGTTGTTGTGACTGCTGCTGCTGTTGCTGCGCCTGTTGCGGCGATTGGGAAGATGGATGGTGTTGCGACGGGTGTTGCGGGGATTGCTGCTGCTGCTGCTGTTGCTGCTGCTGCTGCTGTTGCTGCTGCTGTTGCTGTTGCGACTGCGGAGAACTCGTCGTCGAGGGCTGGCACGAGTTCGTCGCCTGTAGGCAGGGCGAGCTCACTTCCATCTC